ATTTTAAATAATGTATTTTTTTAATCAGTCGATATTTTAATTGTTTCTTATCGTTGCTGCATAGTGAAAACTGAAAAACAAAAGATTTAATATAATTTCGAAACGATCATAAAACACATAACTTTCTGAACGTAGAAAAAGTGTTAAATTAAACAAAAGACGTGATTATTATTGTTATTGACAAATAAACAGAATTAACGATCATACAATGGAAAATATTGATTATTTTCGTTTCTTAAAATAATTTTAATTATTTCTTATATATTTTCTTTTAGGTATATTTAAGGTACATAAATGATAAGCGAAAAGAATTCAACACTGCTATAACCGACAATTAAATAATTCAAATTTTACATATTATAACAAATAACAATATGTATTTATGTTTTTTACTTTCGATGAAATATTCTATACAGTCAAATAAAAAATATACACACGTCACTTTAGATGCGTAAAATTCTTCTCAAAAACTGAATAAAATAATTTTCTTTTAATTCTAAAAAAATATAAAAATAACAGAATACATTAATTGTGAGCACATCAAGATATATCCAATATTCTATAAAAAAATATTCATAATTTTCTGCGAAGTAGGTCGTACATATAATCGTCTTAATAAAAGTTGAAATTATCTTTTTTCTTTTCTTTTCTCTTTTGTTCCTTCAATTTCTGTATAAAAATTAATATTAAATTTCAATAACTTGTACCGCATTTTATTATTACTTGTTTTCTTTTTAACGAAAAGTTACAGAAACCTAAGACGAGTATTGACATGGAACTTCCAAAATTGTTATTACATATCGGCCTAATATTGGCCACAGTCACGAATTTTTGTATTGCCGATGATGATGCCAAAGGTCCAAAATATATATATCGTTTACCCATCATCTCAAAACCAGTTGATTATAACATCAGTCTGATTATTCCGGATCTCGAAAAAAGCAATACTTTTCACGGTGAAACCATTGTCACTGTCGACATTGTTCGCGAAACGTTTCATATAAGCTTACACTCGCAAGGATTAGAAATAAATGAAACGGCGACAACGTTGACGAACAATACTATAGTCTATACACCGGAGGCATATACTTATAACCATGGAACGAATATATTATCGCTACATTTCGAAAATCAATTGTATCGCGGTAATTACACCCTGAACATGAAGTTTGCTGGTAATTTCTCTCAGATAGATTCTGGCAGTGGTGGTTTTATAAAAATTCCGTACACATACGAGGAAGGAAACACCAAATATTACAGAACGTAAGTAAATATTGAAAATATTAAAAATATACTTGTTACGTACGTACGTACGTAAATGCTGTTTGGTGTTACCTTATTTATTTGTTACTTTTACTTATTACCTTTTTTTACTTATTATTACTTTCATCGTTATCGACTTACAACGTATATAAATAAAACTCGGCGAAACAATTAAAAATGTGTATCCATTTTATTATTAAAACCGTTTTCTAGTATGTAAGTATATTTACAATAAAGTATTTGCAAAAAGTGCATGATGTAAAATGTTTAAAAGAATATTCAACTTTGGCTTAAAATAAAACGGCATAGTAGAGTACAATATTTCTGCTTCCACTCTCAACAAAATAATAATTACATATAGTATAATAAGCATATAATATATAAACAATAACTTGTGTTTCTTAACTTCTTGTGTCTTACTCGCTATGAGTGGTAAGTTTGTATCATGAGTGGTACTTTTGTCTTTATTTAAAAAATTGTTTAAAATTACAGGTTGGCCGCAACACACCTCATGCCAAATAAAGCCAGACGAATGTTTCCATGTTGGGACGAGCCAGCGATAAAAACTTACTTCATGATTTCCGTGATGCATCATCAGAATTACACGGTATTGTCAAATTGGCCGATCCGAAAGCAGTACAAAGTAAAAAATGACATGATATGGACACACTTTAACCGTACTTTTGCAATGTCCGCTTATCTTGTGGGAATTGTGATTGTATCTAATTTTGTTCGCATTGAAAAAGAGGTCCAGTTCTTGTCTCCCGGCGTGTCTGTGTGGTGCAGATCGTCTTTGACATCGCAAGCATCATTCATACATAATATTGCCGAACAGATCACGCCACTCTTGGAGGAGTATACCAATAGAACCAAAGGGCTACCGAAAATAGACCACGTCATGGTACCAAATTATCCGGTCGACGGCATGGAAGATTGGGGAATCATCATTTACAAGTAATATTCATAACTAAAGAGATTTAGTAATATGTATTGTACATTAATAAAAAGATTAATATTAAGCTATTAGAACTGATGAATAACTTCTAGCACTCAAAATTTGATAATTAACAACAATAAAAACACATGTGTATTTTACGAATTTTAAATTTCATTTACATATTTTCATTCTTAGGCTGTTTTAAAACAAATTAACGTATTTAATTGATTTATGTCACCTTTTCTTTCCATACTATATATATATATATATATATATATA